TTTGCTTTGCTTTGCTCTGCTCTGCTTTTGCAATAGGTCAAGGTTCACAGCCTATCAACCTATCAACCTCAACCTCACCCCACCTTCTTCACTTACACACGGTCCGCCTTCCCGTGTAGTATATCTCTATCATCCTCTCCCATCCACTTATACAACCTCTCTTGCTCCTCTCCCTCAAACATCCACATACACACACAATGGCTTCTGCAACATCACCACGATACCTCACCATGGAGGAACTCAACAAGACTGCCCTGGACCAATTCGTCTACCAACCTGTGGGTCGCGATATGATCGCATACCTCGCCCAAGCCGCCCACAACGTTATTGCCTGCGACTCGACTCTCATGCCTCCCGCTCCCGCCGAGCCTCGCCAGAACCTCCCAACCCCTCCCAGGAGCCCCGAGCCTCGAACCGTTCGATCCGAAGACGGAGCCCTCCCCACCCTTGAGGAGTTCATCACACAGCTCGTCGTCTCTTCCAACGTCCAGGTCCCTACTCTCATGTCAACACTGGTCTACCTCGGCCGCCTAAAGTCGAAGCTCCAGCCCATGGCTCGTGGTCTACGATGCACTGCCCACCGCATCTTCCTCGCTGCTTTGATTCTTTCTGCCAAGTACCTCAACGACAGCTCACCCAAGAACAAGCACTGGGCCAACTACAGCCACATCACCACCGAGTGCTACAGCTTTGGCTTCAGCCGCACCGAGGTCAACCTCATGGAGAAGCAGCTTCTCTTCCTTCTTGAGTGGGATCTTCGAATTACTGAGGAGGACCTTTACCGTGATCTCGACGACTTCCTTGAGCCCCTCCGCCACAAGATTGCCGAGCGACATGCCAGGAAGATCCGACACCGCGAGGAGAAGCGACGACAGAAGGAGCTCTATGCTGCCTCCACCCGATATCCCAGCCCTGCCTCTTCTCGCGGCCACTCCCGCTCTCGAGGATCAACACCTGAGCACGCACGAAACCTTTCTGGAAACTTTACTCCTCCTGGTCTCAGCTACAGCAGCTCTTCTAGCTCTTACGCCTCATCTGTCTCCTCTGGCCGCGCTTACTCACAAGCTACCACTCCCCTCGAGCCCTCCGAGCCTGAGCCTTACTACTATGAGTCTCAACAGGGCAGCCTCTACGACTCACCCGTCCAGATCGTTCCCGATGTTGACTACCCCAAGGCTCATATGCCTGCTGGCCGCATGCTTCCTTATGAGATCACTGCCGATGAGTACCAACAGTACCAGCAACTCCATGAGACCTCATCCAAGAAGCAGCATCAGCATCAGCATCAGCATCAGCATCAGCAGCAGCGCTCAAGGCGCGGCATGTGGGGTCGTCTTCTCGGTGGTAGCGTCGCTGTGCGATAAATAGCTACTTACGATCGGGCACGCGCTCGATACCTATCTAATGCATAGTCTTGGCGTTACACGGACCGCTGTTTGGCATTACTATATCAATCTTTGCATCCGTTACTTTTCGCATCGAAAAAGAAACCTTGGCATGGCGTTTGGTTGTTGATTATTTTTCTTAACTTCTCCATCTGCTTTCTTAGAGAACCAGATACATCATGAGTTGGCCGACAAGCCGCTCAACATTATTCCCTTTGTTCTATTACAAACACTTTGTTTCTGTTTTCTACTCTACAGTCTTTCCACTGAAAGACCGGCGTTTATTGTGGCTTGCATGAAAGACAGAAGCCTCCCCGGGGATAAGGGGGCTGTGTGCATTATTACTATTGGGTCACTGTCATGGGACTAGGTTGGATGGTTTCGGGATTACGCAGTATCAATGTTGTTTGACGGCCTCTACAAAGCATTACGCCCCACGATTGATATCGGGGATATATGATGGGGGAAATAGGACTAGGAATAGGAATAGGAACAGGATTAGGAATAGGATTAGGAATAAGGAGTAGGCATCATACACTGCCACATTTTGGTCGGATTTGGATCATGGAGTTATTTAATGGGGTATACATCTTTGGGGACCCAACAACAACTACAACATCTAAGAAGAATACAGATACCAAAATTACAACTTAGTATTACATATTAAACCTTGCAATACAAATCGCTCCAATTCAGTCAGTGTTGAATCATCAACAGTGCCGTGCCTCTTTCATCTTTCATCCTTGCGAGGTTAACTGCAAGCCATTTTCTTACAGTGAAGGTGTCTAAGTCACCTCAGTCAGTCAGTGTTGGGAGTGCCTTAAAATAAGCCCTTCCTTATGCCTGGTGATGCGCCTTTACAGGGTCCTCCCCTACAGCTTGGGGCCAGTTACCAAATTTGGTAGGCTTACTTGGTACTTTGACCAATCATGTAATCGTTTCTACCGCAAACAGTAAAATCCTTCGAATTCGGATTTTGACGAGTCCGACGGAGGATCAATGTACTAGGTATGGATGTAAGCAAACAAAATAGATTCCATTTGCGTGCACTGCACCGCCGAATGCAATTGCTACAGCACTCAGAGAATGAAATTACATTGCATTATAGTGCATTTCTCTTGAATGACTCAAGTGAAAATACTTGATTGCGCAACTGAGAGCCAGGGCAGGGGGTGTCTACATAACGGAGACGGTTGCGTATGCGGGTGGCGGACAAATACGAGTAGAGCTTGTTTTACGGAGTTTGCTTTACTTGATACGAGGTTGATGAGTGCATGAACCTCGTCGTGTTTCATTCGCAATGAAACGTGTTTTGAACTTTTATCTTTACTCAACCTCAACTTGTTATATTTTTAGTTTTCTCAATTAAACCATGTTTTTAATTGCTTGTATGTACATACATACATACCAAACTGGTAATGCTCCTTAATGCAACAGCACAGGCTCAATTAAGTGAGGACAGATTTTAATCGATCGTGGCTGTGTGAAGTCATCACGGCTTGCACGGACGGATCCCTCGGACGAGCAACGACTCACAGCTCACACCAACGAAAATCAAAATGGTGTGAATGACATATTCTTTGTAACCTCCGCCGGGACCGAAGCAGAATCACATTGGCTAAAACTTTCGAGACAGGGTGATTGCGAGAATTCGTCTATTGGTTCACAACATGAGGTCGGCAATATGGCATATGCATGGCACGAGGTGCGTGAGAGCCCAGGAGTAAGCTGTGCATATCTAAGAGAACCCTGAATTTGAGATTCTGTAGGCTGAGCTCCTACTATCTAAGCGATGGCATAATACGCAGCTACACCATGACTGTCAACACTACCACCGCCAATGCCTCCGCCAATACCACTACCGCTGTTCCTAATACTGCTACTCCATTTCAACCTTGCGAGAGCAAAATCCCACTCCAGGAACCCGAACCCGAAGGCTCAGGCTGCTCAACACTACACTGATGCTTGATAGAGCCATCGCGAGAGCCGCCCACACCGGATCCAGCCTTACGCGTTCTCCACTTGATGTCTTGATCGCATAGAAGCACCCAGCCGCAACGGGCACGGCAAGCATGTTGTACACAAGTGCCCACGCAAAGTTGACACGAATCCGTCGAAAGACGGCGCGGCTGAGATCCAAGAGCGTGACTACAGCCGTAAGCTGTGACGTTGCGAGCACGAATGCCGCGCTGCTAATGGCTACGTCGCTTCCCGTTCCTATGGCGATGCCCACATCGGCCGTCGTGAGCGCGGGCGAGTCGTTGATCCCGTCGCCGACCATGGCGATAGTAGCGCGTTTGGTCGTTGAGCCGCGTGCGTGGAGAGAGGCTTGGAGAGATGAGATCTTAGCTGCCTTGTCCGATGGGAGAACCTCAGCCAGGACATTAGACGAGGGTATGCCAACGCGCTGCGCCACCGCGCGGGCGGTGGTGACGTTGTCACCTGACAACATCCATACCTGAAGACCACGAGAAATTAACGCTCGGATGACAGGAATGGTCTCACGACGGATCGGATCCGAGATGGACAACGCTGCGGCAAGTGTCCAGGCATCGGCAGATGATGCTTTCGTGGCGACTATAGCCACGGACTTGGCTTCGGATTTCCAGGTATCGAGAAGTGATGTGATGTGAGTTGACAAGTTTACTGAAAATTCTCGCATGAGAAGTTCGTTGCCGATAATCATGTCCATCTCTTGATTGCCAAAGCCCTCGAATGAGGCTTTCATACCTCTTCCAGCCAACTCCTCGAGATTCTCAACATTACTAGCCGGAGCGTCACCACAGAACGAGACAATCGCTTTGGCTATGGGATGGCTGCTGCTCTCTTCCACAGCCTTGAGTGCTGACAGAAAAGCGCTGCGTTCCTCTTCACTTGACGAAGTGTCAGGGAAGAGTACAGAATCGGTGATCTTCGGCTGTCCTCCCTCGGTGAGAGTACCCGTCTTGTCAAAGACGACGCAATCAATCTTGCTCGCCTTCTCAAACGCTTCACCACCTCCTTTGGCAAGAATACCGTGCTTAGCCGCAAGACCTCCGCCTACAAAGATGGCTGTGGGTGCTGCAAGTGCGAGGCCACACGGGCAAGCAACAACAAAAACGGCGATGGCAAACTGGAGGGCAAACACTACCGAGTCGCCATCAGAGGACTCCTCGTGTTCTGGGACCTTGCCGGAAAAGCCAAGCACCATCCAGATGATCCAGGTGAGGATTGCTATAAGAGTGATGATGGGAACGAAATAGGCGGTCAGAAGGTCGGCGATCTGTTCAATTGGCGCTCGTTTTGTCTGACCTTCTCGCACTACTTGAACGATCTGGTCTAGCATCGATTGCCCGGAGGCGCCCGTGACACGCATGGTAATGGCTGCTGCCTTATTTATTGTCCCAGCAAAGATTTGGTCTCCTTCCGTCTTCTTGATGAGCCGAGATTCTCCAGTGAGGCTCGATTCGTCAAAGTTGGTCTCTCCACTGACAAGAATACCATCGGCAGCAGGGGATGCGCCATGAGGCACGCGAATTATGTCTCCAGAGTCAAGTTGATCAACAGGCACGGTGCTAGTGATCTGCCCCCCCGCCTTGTCTTTTTCAAGGAGTAGAGATGTCGTTGGACGAAGCTTGCCTAGCATTTCGACTGCATCGCCAGTCTTGGATTTACTGTACGCCTCAATGAGCCTTCCTAGGAGAAGGAACAGCGTCAGGAAAACCACAGAGTCAAAATACATCTCGGCTTTAGATTTATGATGCGCTCTCCGAGACGTCCCTGCGGCAATCATCTGTGCGACAGAGGAGAAATAGGCTATGCTTGTTCCCAGTGAAACAAGCATATTCATGCTACCAAATCTGTAAAAGCGCTGAATTAAAGGCATGCGGCTTCCCCTTCGCCACATTGTTCGAACTTCTTTGATTGCTCGGACGTGAAATACATCTGCGGCGAAGAAGTACACCGGCGTAGCAAGCGCGAAAAGACTGATATCGAGGCGGCTGAGCCCGGAAACCCAAGGTGCCATGAGGTACATCTTTTCGTGGTTGGAATCTGGCAGCAGGCTCATGTAAACTATGCCGAGAACAAAGGTAGGGACAGCAAAGATGAGGGTAAGGATCACACGATACAACAGAGCTTGCTGATGCTTGGCTCTGATAATTCGAGATCGCTCCTCGAGAGTGGGGGGATGGTATATGGAGGCCTTGAGGGAGTCGTCGGCTGCTTCAATGGCTTGCAAGATCTGCCTGATTGTAAATCTAGGAGCATCAGGTGTATATCTGAGTCTTAGAATAGGATTCTGAATGGTAGGCTCCTGGAAGATTTGGAGTCGACCTGGGGCAAGAGCCTTGAGAGTTGTGACGATTCGCTCTGGGCATCGCTGGCAAAATATGCCGTCGACACTCACTTCGACCTCACGCTCATCAGCCTGAGCCTTTTTCTCTTGTAGATTGACAACCTCGTCGATTGCAGCATCGTATCCGAGGTCCTCAACTGCATCAACAATCTCTTGTGCTCGATCACCACCTGTATATTCGATGGTTGCGCTGTTGGAAACGAGGTTGACAGCGACCTTTGTGACCCATGGAAACTTGTCCATCTCCTGCGTGATTGTGTTGACACAAACAGCACATGTCATGCCGCCAACAGAGAGTGTAACTCGCCATGATGGAGTGGGGGATGTTTCTGTAACCACCTTTTGGAGGGGATACGGCAGAGAAGAACGTCTGGTAGGGGTATCGGAAACGACAGAAGAAACCCGAACCAGTTCTTTCTTGACATCAGATGGTGACTTTCCGGGGATTTTCTCGGATTTACATGCTTCACAATTTTCGAGGTGAGCAGCACGAGCGGCCTCCATCGCCAGAGGTGATACTTGTGGGCGCCAAAAGTGAAAAAAGGAATCCAACCAGCCATCGGAATGCTCGGCGACACGGCTACTCTCCCCTTCAACCTGGGACGTGCGATAGAGATCATTCGCAGTTTTGGCGGTTGTATTG